AACTTCCCCAAAAAGAAAAGCTCAAAACCAGATGGTTTCACCAGAGAATTCTACCAAACATTTAAAGAAGAATTAATGTTAGTCCTTCTCAAACTCTTCCAAGTAAATAGAAGAAGAGGGAGCACTTTCTAACTCATTTTATGAGGCCAGCATTAACCTGATGCCAAAGGCAGATGCAACAAGAAAACAAACTACAGGCCAGTATGTCTGATGAACACAGTTGCAAAAATTCTGTACAAAATACTAGCAAACTATGCCTTTTCCCTCACACCTTAATTCACTGACTTGTTTAACTTCCATCTTGATTTGAACATCAATAAGCTTTGCAACCTGAAAATGTCCAAAGAAGAATTCTTCAGTTTGGACTGCCTGCTTTCTCCTTAGTCTTTCCCAACTCAATTAACAGTGCTATTTTTCAACTATGCTCAGGCCAGTAAGCTATAAATCCCCAACTGTCTATTAAACACATAGCATGTAAAATTACATTTTGGAATCTAAATAGTATCATACCAGAACTCTGTTAAAACCTAAAAAAGTGTACTCACTGCATTAGACTAAATATAATGTACATGCCATGCTTTTTATGTAAGGTGATCATACAACCATTGGTCTGTAAGTGCATTTTTGAGATAAAAAAAACACGTAGCATGTAAAATTACATTTTGGAATCTAAATAGTATCATACCAGAACTCTGTTAAAACCTAAAAAAGTGTACTCACTGCATTAGACTAAATATAATGTACATGCCATGCTTTTTATGTAAGGTGATCATACAACCATTGGTCTGTAAGTGCATTTTTGAGATAAAAAGTTAGCACTATTATTAATTATGCCATACAATGCCATAAGGGCTATACTAAACAAACAAGTACATATAGTCAGCCTGCTATAGGATTTCTATAATCTAGGTGATATTAACCATTCTGACATTTTTTGGCCTATATTTTCTTCCTTATTCAATACATTAAAACAATACTGACCATTTTTTCTAGTCTCAACACTTTCTAAGTTTTTACCTTCCAAATGGTCTTTGCAGTATGTATTCAGTTTGGTTTAATAATTATCCCACAATTGGTCATATAGCTATGTCCTCATTATTTAGAGTGCATCTAGATGATAACCCAGAGACCTTCTCTTATCAACTTACATTAAGTAGACTTACATCTCCAGACACTACATACCATTATCTTATTTTTGAAACAGAATTAACCAATTTCTGAATATTTTATTTACTTTAATTTACATAGCTGTCATTTTCTAAGCAGCTCCTTCACCTAACTACCAGTACTGGGGATAAAAACATGCCTTATTTAGTTTAAATTTATGTGGAGAACTTCATGCTTCATAAATCTGGATGTCCATTTCCTTCACCAGATTTAGTGTGTTTTTGGCTTTATTTTTTAAAATAAGCTTTCTCCCCCTTTCTTTCTCTCTTATCCTTCTGAGACTTCCATAATGTACTTTTTTAGTTTCACTTGAAACCCCTAAGTCCGTCAAGCTCTCTTCACATACTTTTTCTTCTGGCTGGAAAATTTCAAATGACCTGTCTTTGATTTTCCTAATTCTTTCTTTTGCTTGATCACTTACACAGTCGAACCTCTCTGGTAATTTTTTGTTCAGTTATGGTATTCTTCAGTACCAAAATTTATTTTTTATAAATATTTCCTCTTTGTTGAATTTAAATTTTGAGCATGCATTGTTTTCCTGAGCTAGTAGAGCATCTTTATGATGGTTGGTATTCTTCAGTACCAAAATTTATTTTTTATAAATATTTCCTCTTTGTTGAATTTAAATTTTGAGCATGCATTGTTTTCCTGAGCTAGAGAGCATCTTTATGATGGTTATTTTGAGTTCTTTGTCAGAATATTCATGTATGTCTATTTTTTAGTGTCAATTTCTGAAGATTTATTTATTCTTTTGTTTGAGCAATATTTCATGTTCTTTGACGCTGTTGGTGAAAATGTAAAATGATGCAACTACTATATGAAAGTGTACGGAGGTTTCTACAAAAATTAAAAATACAACTACCATATGATACAACAATTTCATTCTGAGTATTTATTCAAAAGAATTAAAATTAACTTGAAGATATATTTGCACTCCCATGTTAATTGCATCATTATTCACAATAGACAAAAGATGGAAGCAAACTAAATGTCTATCAATGTGTGAATGAATAAAGAAAATGTAGTGTATAGGAAAATTCAAAAAGTTCATGGAAAGATTTGTATTATCTTTTAATTTTATTTTTTCGCAAAGTTTTTGAAGTACCCTTTTATACATGGAATGAAAGATAATTTAGCCTTAAAAATAAGAAATTCCGTCATATGTGACAACTTGTTGAATTTTGAGGACATCACGCTAGATTAAATAAGCCAATTGTAGGACACATACTGAATGATTCTACTTACAGGAGGTATATAAAGTAGTCAAATTCACAAAAGCACAAAGCAGTATGGTGGCAGCCAATGGCTAGGTGGAGGAAAAATGGGTAGTTACTGTTCCATGAGCACAAAGTTTCAGTTCTGCAAGAAGACAAAGTTCTAGAGGTCTTCTGTACAACATTGTACAATTGTTAACAATGCTGTACTGCATACTTAAAAGTGTTATGAGGGTGGATCACATGTTATGTGTTTTTCATCATACACAAAAACATATTATTTAATCATGAACAATTGTTCCTCACACATGGCTTTAACTTTTTCTCAAAACACTAGCACTAAATAAAAAGCTATTCAATGAAAATCATAGTTTTCATAGTGGAAAATATTCATTCCATTCAACTGAAGACACTTTATTTTCACAGAAAAAAAAAATGTCAATTGAGGCCAGAGCAGGTAGGTGTCATTGCTGGACTCCCAGGCCAGGCCAGTGCATGATGCCGAGAGAGGCCCCAGCCTCCCACCCACAGGCACTGAGGCAGCTGTGTCAAACTGGCAGTCCCTGCAGGATCCTAGCCAGACATTAGAGTCAAATGAGTAGACCGTGAAATCCCCTGCTACAATGACTAAACTCTAAAGGAAAGATGCCAGAAATACAAAAAATCAAGAAAGTACAACACCACCAAAGAGTAATAATAACTCCCAAGCTCTAGATCCTACAGAACAGGAAGTCCTTGAAATGACTGGAAAGGAATTTTGAGCAACAATTCTAAGGAAATTAAATGAATTACAAGAAAACTCAGTTAGACAACACAATGAAATGAGAAAAAGTATACAGGACCCGAAAGAAGAAATGTACAAAGAAATCAATGCAATGAAAAATAATGTAGCAGAGCAGAAGAATTCATTCAATAAAATAAAATATCAGAGAGTTTAACTAGCAGGCTGGAACAAGCAGAAGAGAGAATTTCTGACCTTCAAGATGGCCTGTTTGAAATAACAAGGTGGACAAAAAAAAAAAAAGAATTAAAAACATTGAAGAAAATCTAAGAGATAACAGACAGCCTTAAGTGCTCAAATATCAGAATCATGGGTATTCCAGAAGAGGAAGAAAAAGGAAATGGCATTGAAAACATGTTTGATGAAAAAATGGCAGAAAACTTCCCAGGTATAGGAAAAGACACAGACCTTCAGATTCAGGAAGGTCAAAGATCTCCAAACATATTCAATACAAAAAGGTCCTCTCCAAGACATGTTATAGTTAAAATGGAAAAACTCAAAGCAAAGAGAGAATCTTAAAAGCTGCAAGAGAGAAGCATCAAGTCACCTATAAGGGAGCCATAATCAGACTAACATCAGACTTTTCATCAGAAATCCTAAAAGCCAGAAAAGAATGGGATGATATATTCAAAATACTATAAGGCAAAAATTTCCAGCTAAGAATACTTTACCCAGAAAAGCTATCATTCCAAAATGAAAGACAAATAGTATATTTCTCAGACAAACAACAACTGTGGGAGTTCACTACGATGTGACCAGCTTCACAAGAAATTATCAAGGAATTACTGGGTTTGGTACCTGAAAAACCACCACCACTGCCATAAATACTCAAGAAAAAACAAAACCCACTAGTAAAATAAAAATGCTAACAAGAAAGAGAAAAAAAATTTTATCTACCACCCCAAGAAACCAACAAATACAGAAGACAAACAGTACATCAGAAAGAAAGGAACAAATGATACAAGACAAACAAAAATCAATAAAATTCGAGGAGTAAAAATAAATTATTTTAAAATTGTAATTTGAATTTTATAGATATATGAGGGAGGAGATATTCGAAGTTTCTGAAAACCAGTAAAGAATATTCATTCTTAAGTTGATGATCTACCTGTATTTCATGTTAATCGATGTATGAAATGAAAACGTCTATTTAATTTTTCCATCCTTATCTGAGTTTACAAAGCTACGTTCTCTTTCTTGTTAGTTGCCCTGTTACCTATGTCTTTGATGAAGGGACTCTAATTGGGGAACTTGAGGATTCTTTAGTTCAACTTCCATTCAGCCTGGAGCTCTTCCCTGCTCCTTGGACTGGCAATAGAGGACTCAGATTTTTTTTTTTTTTTCTTTATTGGCTATATATTATCTGCGGGAGAATAATATCCCTTTCTCAGGCTTTGGCCAGATATCTAAATTCCTTTCACTGATGTACCAGTTTTCAAACGAAAACCTAAATATAGAGTCTCTTCAATTCTCAGTTAGAATGTTCTACTAGCAAAAGTGAACCTTAGTGCTAATCTGTCTTGAAAAATTCTAGGCTTCAGGCAGCTGCGACAGCAATGGGCTCCATTTGCTACTCATTTGAACTCAGGACAATTGAGATATGAATCCATGGTTTCCACTGACACTTCAATTTCAAGCCACATCTTGGTTGCTTCCTATTTTTTTCTTTAATACTTTTTGCCATAAATGAGTAACTGTAACCCCTGAACAGTAAACCTGAAATTTTATCCAACTCGCATAAGACAGTTTAAATAAGTCTATAGAAAGAAAAAGTACAGTTTATCTTCAACAACTGTTCATTAGTTTGAAAAATTACTGTGGGTAAAAATGAAATATATTCAAGGCAGTGACCCTTTCTTTGTGGTGCTGGTCAGGTCATTCCCCAACTGCACCTGCAAAGATCAGAAGAAGAACATGATATTGCCCAACGTTCTGCTTACCCAGGCTGAGCAAGTTTTTGTTCTGGGGTGTAGCACAGTGTGAGGATTACTACTGCTCTGTTGACAGTAGTAAGTTGCAGCATCTTCAGCTTCTAGGCTACTGATGGTGAGTGTGAAATCCGTCCCAGATCCACTGCCACTGAACCGTGAGGGGATCCCAGAGATGGACTAAGAAGCATACTTTATTAGAAGCTTTGGAGGCTGATTCGGTTTCTGCTGGTACCAGTGTAAGCTGGTGCTAATGCTCTGACTGGCCTGGCAGGTGATGGTGACTTTCTCCCCTGGAGTTCCAGACAGGGAGTCTGGAGACTGGGTCAGCACAATATCACCCCTGGAGGCTGAAACCATATAGGAAACTTTAGCAGAATACTACTCTCTATACATGGAAATCAGCACTAACCTAGTTAGGAGAAAAACTTTTTTTAAAAAAAATTCTAATATAAAGAATAAGACAAATTTCATATGTTGCAGGGTTCCCAATGAAGAAAATTAGCAATTGAAGCAATATCCCCACTTTTAGCCATGTCCAAATATTCTCACCTGAAACCCAGAGGAGCAGAAGCCCAAGGAGATGTGATGGGGACATCATCTCACTGCTTTCAACTTGTCTATTCTGCTCATGTCACATCCCTGGAGAAAGGACCTAATCACCTCAAAGTCAGATACCAGACAACTAGGAATCACCCCTATAGCCTAAAAGAAACACAGGGAAATAGTAAAAAGATAGGTGAACAATATCCAATTCTAAACCTGCTTCTCCTGCTTACCTTGTGTTCCTCCTCTTTCCTGCATAATCTACAATGAAGACTCTGCCCACAGTTCCTCTCTCTCTCTTACTGCTCATCTCACATGGGTGCTTCCCTGTGTGGCCCCACATGGCGGGTCACGTCTCCTGTGTCTAGGGAACTGTGAGTATAATAAAAAGGTTTTCCTTATGGCAATCATTTTCATCTCTGCATGTCCTGTCATATCTGACTAAAACAAATCTTGAATACCGTTGAAATAGGGGTTTCCAACAAGCTGATACCAGAGGAAAAGTTACAAGCTTTGCCTAGGTTTGCATTATATTTTTGTACAAGTAAAAGTGGACAGCTCCAACAGTATAGCTGTCATCATAGGAGCCCCAGAAATAAAATATTTAGTAGATACTCAAGAAGTGCACGTGGTCATCAAGTTAGTGTGGATGGAGAAGTGGCCTTGAAATTGTTTGTGTCAATTATGCTGAAGTCAGTGTTTGTGGGGTGGAGAGTGTGATACTGATCATAAGGGGTTTGAGCTAGTCGGGGGGCTGAGCATGGAAAAATACATGCCACAAGGTGGCAGTAGCACACACAAACTGGGGATGCTTTGACAGGTTTGCTTGGGGAAAGTCCCTCACAGCAGGAATCTGTCCAGGGGCTAAGGTACTAGCTTTGCTACTTAGCAAAGGAGGAGGCAAACTAAGGCCTGGGGGGAAGGGGAAATGGAGAAAAGACTTTTGTGTCTTGGTGACATCACACAGCAGCACAGTGGGGAGTCCCTGTGTCATAGAGCTCTAAAGGGCAGTTGTAGCTTGGGCTTTTTATTGCCTGGGGCTTATCTTATCTATTGCTAGCAGACATGGGTGAAATTTCCTGAGATATGCAAAGGAAGCCATGTTTGAATGGTTAAAATTCAAATTGTGGGGCTATTTTTGAAATAATTAGATGTTAAAATTTGAGTTTGATGATAGTAGTTTAGAAGTAAATCTGCAGTTTAGAAATAGACAACTTCAGGGCCAGTATAAAGAGCTAACTTTGGCTCATTTTTGTAACACTGCTGCACATTCTATAGTCTTTGTACTGTAGACTTTATCGACCCAAACTGTCCAAACCCTTAAAGTTTTGGCTAGAACACATGCACAGATGTTTGTTTCCTACTGGACCCAAATCGAGGGTTTTTTTTGAATAAACATCAGAGTTTGTTCTTGCATAAGTTAAATGAGTGAATGAATGAATAAATGAAGAGGGTGGGAGAAAACTTTTGAAGGTGATATGTATATTTATGGCATTGATTGTAGTGATAGTTTTGCAGGTGTATACTGATTTCCAAACTCATAAATTCTATATGTTAAATATGTTATTTTTTGTATGTCAATCATACGTCAATAAACTGGTTAAGAGAAAAAAGAAAAGAAAAAAGAAAGAAAGAAATTCACCCATCACGGTGAGATTCCCCAACTGCGGGTTGGGTAGAGGGGATTCTTGGCTTAAAGCCCCTGCAGTTGAAGCTGGTTGACTTTACTAAAGAACTATAAAGTGTCACCCAGAAGAGGTAAAATTCATGGGTAAAAATTCTGTTTACAGGAAGCTTCTAGAAGGTTCTGTAGATGTGTTTATCCTGTGAGTTTAATACGTTCTCTCTAAATACTGGAAGACACAGGTATATTTACATGCCCAGCTTTTCTAAATCTTTAAGACCCTATTCTCCTTCTACCTTATACAAATTTGTATATCAATGTTTGAGTTATTTCTCTTTCCTTTTTCTTGAAGTAAATATAAAAAAAAAAAAACCTGTAGAGGTCCTCAACTGAGCCATAAAGATAAATGGGCATATGACAAGTACTTGAGATCAAGGCTTTGTGCCTCTAAATGTTAAGGTTCTGCTGAGCCCATGTCACCTATGGTATAACTGGAAGGTAAAACAATAATTCCATTGCCCACCCGAACGCTCTCTGCCATATAAAATCTTTATCTGCTTTAAGATCCCTGCTCAAGGCTCACCCTTGAAGAAATGAGCCTCTATCCTCAAAATAAGTTTTCCTTAAAAGCCAGACTTTGATTGGAAATTTAATATTTTTCTCTACTGTTTTAACGTGAGGTTTGCCTATTAGACTTTGTAGGAAAACATGGTTTAGTTGACAAACAGTGAGTGGAAAACCCAAGAAAAGTTTAAGAATGGAATTAGGGAGTATAGCCTTTCAGTTACGGCTGCTTTTGGAATGAAAATTTATATGAATATAACAAAATGACAATGGGAAATAATTTTCTTTGAATTTTTAATCTAGGTAAGATAGTTTATCTACATAAGAATGGAGAATGTGAGGTAAGAATTCTCATGTTTGATGCTTCTTATTCTACATTATATCATTTTCAAAACCCACAGAAGGACATTTTAAGAACTTCAGGAAGAATCAAAGACCAAATTAAATTACTTAAACTGGTTTTTGAAATCGACTGAAATTCTCTCTTAACCACTTTGTTTCATTTCCAGTTAACAACAAACCAAAGCTTAGAACAAGAAAGATGCAGGAGATGAGTTAATTATTTGGTGGCCATTCTCAGTCTTAT